AGAGAGTGAATAGACTTAGCTGGGAATCGCAACAAATATTGACTAAACATAGGGATGCAAACAGATGGAATAACAGCCATTTCTCTCAGTACTGTAATATGTAGATGGATTTTAGACCATAGATTAACACTTTTGAATATTTTTTCCCCCCAAAGAAATTCAATCAGCTCAACAGCAGGTTTCTTAAGGTACAGTAGTTGAATTTTGGAGAACATGCTACACCAGAAATTAGACAAGGAGCCAGCTGGTGCACAATACGCTTAGTCTTAAATGAAACAAAGCAATGTAAAAAAAAGAGCAAAGCATATTTATCTTTATTTTAATTAACATAAAACAAAAAAAATGTCTCACTGCGAACACCTCTAAACAATCAGTCCTCATATTTCCCCCCCCCCCACTCATGCATTCACTTGCCCTTCTTAAATTTGCCTTTTGGGGTGCTTGCTGTTTTGGCTTTTTTTTTTGCTGATCCCTTGAGTTCAGTCTCTTTTCTTTTTGAAGAGATGGATCCAGTTACCTTAAAGAAGTCATCCAAACGACCCTGTGTGCTGCCATGCCTGTTCTTTGCAAGCTTCTTTGCTCCATTGCGGATACGATCTTCGTTGAATTGTTTCTCACCACACATGAAGGCCACAAGTCCCTCCTCATCTGGATCTGTCCACTTCAGTTCCAAGCTTTCTGTATCTACTACTTCAGGCTTTAGGAATAACTGTCGAGCTTCCTTGTGCAGCCAGTTTTCAGGTACCGGGTATTTTTTAAGGTCAATGTTATCCATGACCTCTTCAATAGACTTGTGCTGCCTGATCAATTCTATAGCTCTCTTGGGTCCAATACCTCTGATTGTCTCGCAGTAGTCACTGCCCAAGAGAATACAAAGATCCACAAATTGATCTTGAGAAATGCCTATATCTTCCAGAGCACGGCTCAGGTGAAATTCTTGGATAGGCAATTTCTTGGCTTCACTAGCTGTGAGGTGTCTTAGAAGTATTGGGGTTCCAAATGTCAATGCATCCATGTCTTCTGTAGCAGCTGCAAAGACTTTGCCTGCTTTCACTAGTTCTGCGCACGTAGCTTCTGCTTCACAGGGAGCATCTACATAAGGAATGCCCATCAGTTTAAGCAACATCTTACACTCTTCATTGTGTTGTTTGGTGACTTTCACAAGCCTCTTGTTGAATTTCTCAATGTTCTCTACTTCTCCGGCCTCCTGGGCAGCCTCCAACAGTTTCTCCGCCTCCGCCCTGCGTTCACTACGCTTGGCCAGCTCACCTGATTTCAGCTGAGGTGGTTTCCCATCAAACACATAGACAGGTTTGATTCCATGTTCGACCATGCGAATTGTGCGGTAAAACATGCCCATTAGATGGCTGGTAGTCTCACCATCCTCGTTCTGAAGCATGTTGCCATCTTGTCGTACAGCTATAAGGAATTGGTAGATACACATAGAGGCATCAACTGCCACCTTACGCCCAAAGTAAGACTTTATGTCATGCTCCTTGATGGCTGAAGGGGCTACATCAGCAATAAGCTTGGCTAAACCTTGTATTCCCATTGTAAAGATGAAAAGTAATAAAAAAAATAGTCCAAGCTAAAAAAATGCTGCAGACAACACCTGTAAAAAAAAAAAAAAGAAAAGAAAAGTGTGTCAGGTCAAAAACAAATACAAACAATATGAATGACTCCCATATGAAGCAAGTCAAATATTTTTTTTTCAGATTCTAACCAAAAAGTCATATGTAAAATAAATGGCATGGCTATGTATTTAAACAACTCAAAGTTTAAACGCTCACACAATAACTGATTATTTGTCTCACTGTCACTTTTAAAAAGATCTACCCCTTAGCATTATAAAGGGGTTAATGCAAGGCATATCAGTTGTGCACATACTTTATAGTACTTGTACAGCTCCCAGGATTTTTCAAAGTGACAAAGAGGAAGACTTGCAATTTTTGGGTTGTTTATATGGGGGTGGGTGTCCAGTGATTTTACGTGACTTACTAATAATTTATTGAACTCAAATTTAACGTAGAAGAACAAAGTATCTTATTTGCACAGACCAATTTCAAATCACATTTATTATAGTTTAAAGACATTATTGGGAGTATTATTACTGTGGAGCTCTGTTATACACTAAGACATTACTGGGAGTATTATTGTGCTGTGGAGCTCTGTTATACACTGAGACACATTACTGGGAGTATTATTGCTGTGGAGCTCTGTTATACACTCAGACATATTACTGGGAGTATTATTGCTGTGGGGCTCTGTTATACACTCAGACACATTACTGGGAGTATTATTGCTGTGGAGCTCTGTTATACACTAAGATCCCTTCAGATTGACTGACCCCCCAGGACAATGAATAGAACGACAGTTACAGTCCGTTAATGGACCCTTACAACATATCTGACAGGTATATTTCCAGTGTCCCTCACACCGCCCCCCCACCAGGCTCCAGTCA